AAAATCTTAAAAAAAAATCTACTCACTGAATAGAGAGACCCTCCCCCCAGTTCTTCCTTTCAGTTGACTCAGAAGTTGGGCAGTCAGGCTTCCACATACCACCTCCTCCCCAAGTACAAGGTCGAAGGATTTCATTCTGGGGAAACTAATCAGCCCAAAATAAAATGCTATAGGTGCCAACGTTTGGGGGGTCATCTAATGAAACAGCCAGGCCCCTGCCCAGTAATCCTGCAGTGAAACCCGTTCCTTATGTCCTTACACACAAACACTTAACTTTCAATCAACATATTAGTAACTCAATCTTAAGTATGAACCCATAGTTAAAGACAACTTGTAGATATGCTGATATACAAAAAGAAGGGTCATCTCTCTTTTGTCCTCTATGCTTAGTGTTTCTTATCTTTTCTGTCCATGACCGAGAGTAAAAAAGAAATACGTATCATTGGAAAGCCGTGAGAATTATTTTTCATTTCAAAAAAGTAAATTTCTCCCTTTTCAACCTTTTTTTTCTTTAGACCTGGTTTCTGCTCTTCTTTCATTAAATGTAAAGCAATAATGTCAGCAGCAGTTATTCAACAAAGAGGGAGTAGGTAAAGGTATTGCTTTGTGGAAGTCAAAAAACCAAATTTAAAAGAAGAGTTTGGTTTTTTTTTTCAAAGATCTTATTTTTATGTAATCTCTACACCCAACATGGGGCTCGAACTCACAACCCCGAGATCAAGAGTCACACATTCCACTGACTGAGCCAGCCAGGTGCCCCAAAAGAAAAGGTTTTTTTAAAGAGACATTTAAAGAGCTCTTAATGGGCTTTAGGATAATAGTTTCCTTTCTTAATACCAGCTCATCTTCATGTTTTTTCTAATCTCTACAATTTAGTCTTTTCCCAAATCACCTTCTCTCCCAACAATGTCTGTTCCATTCTCTTTGATTACTTTGTTTTAAATCAGACTCTTTCACACCACTAGCATTTCCAGCTAACCCCTCCCTGGATTACTAGGTTATATTTATATCCCCCGTGTTGTATATTCTCAGTATTACAATTTCGTTACCCCATTCCTCACAGAACACCTTCTCTTCTTCCAGCTTTGGACACAGTGGATTTGTATTTTTATGTCTTTTAGATCGCAAGTCTGGACCTAAAGCCGAGAAATCAACAGTAGAGCTGCAGGACATTTTCAAAGAAGGCCCATCCCGAGGAATAAACACAGAAGAATTTAAAAAGAGAAAGTCTCTACTGGGAGATACCTGGAAGTCTAGAGAACAGTTTAAGAATCAGCACTTAAACCAGGAGAAGTATCTGGGACACGATAAAGTCACCTGTATGGAAATTCCTGCCAAAGAAGGAGATACAGAATCTAATGAATTTGGAAAAGTTTTCACTCTACAATCAATAGTTTCAGAACAGAGTGATCTTATACAAGAGTGTTTTCATGAACATGGTACACATGGAAAAATGTTCAAACAAAACTCAGAGTTAATTATACAAAGGAAGTGTGATGGAAAGAAACCTCGTAAATGTGGTGGATGTGGGAAAACCTTCAGAGACCACACTGCTCTTGTTCAACATGAAAGGACTCATACTGGAGAGCGACCCTATAAATGTAATGTATGTGAAAAGGGATTTAACCAGAGTTCCCACCTAACAAACCATCAGAAGACTCATACAGGAGAAAGACCCTACAAATGCAATGAATGTGAGAAGGCCTTCAGTTATTGCTCAGTCCTTATGCAACATCAGAGAATTCATAGTGGGGAGAGACCATATGAATGTACTGAATGTGGCAAGACATTCAGTCGTAGCACATACCTTACTCAGCATCAAAGAATTCACACGGGTGAGAAGCCCTATAAGTGTCTGGAATGCGGAAAGGCTTTTAGGCAGAGCACGCATCTTACTCTCCATCAGAGAATTCATACTGGAGAGAAGCCTTATGAATGCAATGAATGTGGTAAAACCTTCAGTCAGAGTGCACATCGTACTCAACATCAGAGAATTCATACGGGAGAAAAGCCCTATGAATGTAATGACTGTGGAAAAGCTTTCAGTGATCATTCAGCTCTTATTCGACATCATATCATCCACACTGGGGAGAAACCTTATGAATGTAGTAACTGTGGGAAAGCTTTCAGTTACTGTTCAGATCTCATTCAACATCAGAGAACACATACTGGAGAGAAACCATACAAATGCAGTGAATGTGGGAATGCCTTTAGTGATTGTTCAGCCCTTATTCAGCATCAAAGAATTCACACTGGAGAGAAGCCCTATGAGTGTAATGAATGTGGGAAGGCCTTTGGTAACTACTCAGCTCTTATTCGACATCAGAGAACTCATACTGGAGAGAAGCCCTATGAATGTAAGGAATGTGGAAAAACCTTTAGCAGAAGGACATACCTTGCTCAACATCAGAGAAGTCATACAGGTGATAAACCATATAAATGTAATGAATGTGAGAAAACTTTCACCCAGAGTTCATTCCTTACACAACACATGAGGGTTCATACTGGAGAAAAACCCTACAAATGTAATGAATGTGGGAAAGCTTTCAGCGACCGCTCAGGGCATATTCAGCATCAGAGAACTCACACTGGAGAGAAGCCCTATGAATGTAATCATTGTGGGAAAGCTTTCAGTTTCTGTTCAGCTCTTATTCAACATCAGAGAATTCATACTGGAGAGAAGCTCTATAAATGCAATGACTGCGGAAAAGCCTTTAGTGATAGGTCAGCACTTATTCAACATCAGAGAACTCACGCTGGAGAGAATCCCTATAAATGTAACGTATGTGGAAAAGCCTTCAGTCAGAATGCAAGCCTTACAAATCACCAGAAAACTCATTTTAGTGAAAAATCCTGTAAATGCAGTGAATGTGGAAAAGCCTTTAGTTACTGCTCAGGCCTTATTCAACATCAAATCATTCATACTGGAGAGAAACTTCATGAGTGCAGTAAATGTAGCAGAGCCTTTAGCCGGAGGACGGACCTTAAAAAACATCAGAAAATTCATACTGAAGAGAAACTCTACAAATGTAATGAATGTGGAAAAGCCTTCAGCCAGAGCACATATCTTACAAAACACCAGAAAATTCATAGTGGGGAGAAACCAAATATACATACTGAGTGTAGGAAAACATTTAGACAAAACTCTTCTATTCGACATGAAAAATCTCGCGCTGGAGAGAAATCCTCTGAATGCCTTGAGGGTCTGGCTACTGTGGAGACCCTTCCCAGGGAAACAGAAGGAGGATCATGAAAACTGTTAATTAGAGTGGCCACATTGTTTAGTGGGAGGCACACATCTCTGGGTTTTAAAGGTCCTGGGTTCCAATCTCAGCTCTATTACCAACTAGTTCTATTACTTACTTTAGGGTAAGTCACTTTACCTCTTCATGCCTTAATTTACTCACCTAAAAAATTGGAAGGCCTGATTAATTGATCTTTAAGATCCACATTTATTTTATTTATTACCAATGCATGTTTTTATAGATGTGACTCTCAAATTGTGACTTATTTATTCTACAACAGGTCTGATTTACAATGTGAGGATGTAGTAGTTATTAGGAATTCAATAAAGATATAGACTACATGCTATTTATTACCTTTGTATTGGTCCTCCAAAATTAAACATACCATGAGTATTCAAGGAGATTGAGACATAAAATAGTATAAATTATGCTAATTATTGCAGTAGGAAGGTTGGGGTCTTGATTAAGAATATGGTGTTTGATAAATCCTCAAAAAGAGTGAATCAAATTGTTGGTAAAGGCTGGCTTACCTAGAATCCACCCAAATTTAATGTTGCAATATACATTTTCTCTATTAAGTTGAATTGGTCACTATCATGTCCCAGGTGAAAAGGAACTAGAAAACAGTTCTAAAGTCTTGAGCAGGTTACCAAGAAAAGATGAAATTGGAAAATGCATTTGTTGTTTCCATACCTTAAACATGTAAAGACCACGTGAATGAGAATAAAACTTGAGATCCCATACACCTAGAAGAGTCTGTTGGTCTCTTGTCTTTGTCCTGTGATTACAGAGATATTAGCCTGAAAATATGAAGATTTATCTCAGAAACCTGTGATTTTAAGTTGACCAGTTAATCTTTTCCAAATTTTCTGTAATGCCTATGCATTGTTTTATAATCAAACTATTTTTTAAAAGCATTTGATAACTAAACAAATTTAATCGTTTTGGAAAAGGAGCCTACTTTAGCGAATTATGCAATGGATTTAAAAACTATGAGCACAAGTGTAAGAGACTATCATAAAGCTGCTACTTTATGACTTTTTTGTTGTTGCTTTCTCAGCCTGTTTCCCCTTACAGCAAACACCACTCTCCCTTTGAGATACATTTCAGCCAGGCAGTTCCCACTTTCTCTCCTACTTCCCAACACTTTGACCATATGCTAACTGCAATCAGGATACCCTCCTTATTTACCTTCCTAATTTCTGCCTCTCAAACTTCCTTTTATGGTTTAGCACATACATAGTCTTGGATGATGATGATGATGATGGTGATGATGATTCACCTTCATCAGCTGCTTTCAGCACTCATCTCTTCTTTTTTTTTTAAGATTATTTATTTATTTATTTGACAGAGAGAACACAAGCAGGGGGAGCAGCAGAGGGAGAGGGAGAAGCAGGGTCCCTGCTGAGCAGGGAGCCCCATGTGGGACTCCATCCTATGACCTGAGCTGAAGGCAGACACTTAACGACTGAGCCACCCAGGCGCCCCAGCACTCATTTCTTCTTTCTTTGAATTTCTGTAGCATTTATTCACATGGACTTTAGTACTTAGTGGTTCCTTGATGTTCAGTAATCACCTTAAAGGTAGGTTCCATACCTTAGAGTTTTATAACTTCACAGAAGCTAAGTAGAAGTAGAAATAGAGTAGATGCTCAGTAAATCTTTACTGACTGAGGAAGTGTGCTGTAGTAACAAGACCATGATGAACACACGTGCTTTATCTCATTTGCAAGATGGCTCTTCGAACTCTGTTTTGTTCCATTCATGAATATACAACCATACTTACTTTTTAAAATATATATATTTAAAACTAGGGGTGCCTGGGTGGCTCAGTTGGTTAAGCATCTGCTTTCAGCTCAGGTCATGATTCCAGGGTCCTGGGATCGAGCCCCGCACCGGGCTCCCTGCTCAGCAGGGAGACTGCGTCTCCCTCTCCCACTCCCCCTGCTTGTGCTCCTTCTCTCGCTTCGTCTCTCTCTGTCAAATAAGTAAATAAAAACTTAAAAAAAATAAAACTAATTAAAACAAATAAAAATGTATAGTGATTACAATAAAACAAAAAATTATACTGTACAGCAGTCCTTTTTTTTCTTCTTCATATAGCTATTTTTGAATAGGATATGGTTCTCCACAATAATTTCTAATGTCTATACTTAACACCACTATCCTGGGATTGATTTTATTTATTTATTATTTATTTATTTATTTGACACAGAGAGAGAAGGAACACAAGCAGGGGGAGTGGAAGGGGGAGAAGCTGGCTTCCCGCTGAGCAGGGAGCCCGATGCGGGGCTCGATCCCAGGACCCTGGGATCATGACCTGAGCCGAAGGCAGACGCCCAATGACTGAGCCACCCAGGCGCCCCTATCCTGGGATTTTTTTAACTTGACATCGTCAATCTTCTCCAGCAAGTTGCCACTGGATTTCAGTTATGGATACTGGACTTTCACACATAGTTATTCTGGCATTTTCTTCCATAGCTTGCTGTGGAGATAACTGCTCACTTCCTGAATCACTCATTCACTTTGGTCTCTGCTAAATATCAATTTCCTGTCTCTGTTTACCATAGAAACCCATTCGTTTTTATAAATGTAAGGTCACTGCTTCCATTTTCTCTTTACCTGAGAGTTTTAACATACTGAGGTTAATTGTTATACATAGTTGATTTTCTTTATTGACCCCTTAGCAGCCAGGTTTGACTCTGTATTCAAAGAGGTTGCTTCCATTAGGATTATGAGTATCTCTTATAACAGGCCCAGAGCAGTGGTCATCCAGACTGTGGACATAAGCAACCCAGGCTTACCTGGGCAGGGGAATGCTAAGATGTCAGAACACAGGCTCTCAGTCATGTCACTCCACCATCTTTGATGTGTGTTTCTGTCTGACGTCCAGGCAGCTTGTCCCTTTTCAAGCTAGTAGAAATGTAAAGACATCTCTTTTCCAGTAGGGGTGTGACCTGGAAGTTCTGTGCATTATTTTACTCCTATCCCATTGACCATAAATGGGTCATGCGACCTCATGCTCCAGAGAAGGAGCAAAGGCAGACATAGTTTGAAAGGGGAGAATGGTAATAAACAGCCAGCAGAGATCTTAGGGTGATCGTGTCCCTCATCAGTTAAATTGCAATAGAAAATGACCTGGTTTCATAAGCTCATGGACCATGAATTCAGTCTGGAAGGTCGGCGGGCAGCTTAGATTCCCAGTAGAGTAGCTCAATAACGGGAAGTAGAAAGCTGAAAGTGTAGGCCAGGTAGGCTCTCAGAAGGTGCAGGCCATGGTCAGCATGTGCGAGATTGCCCCCCCATCCAAAACGGGGAACTGAGCTAATTTCTTAATTCATTAACTTTGAGCAGGCCTTTCTTTCCGAGCGATGTGCCCAGATCTGAGCCCGAAGGCGAGTAGAGACAGCCCCAGAGCAAACACATTACAAAGGAAATCTAAATCCGGCTTCAAGCCAGGGGAAGGTTTGTAGCTGTTGTGTGCTCATGTGCTCGCCACTCAAATCTGTCCGAGAAACTGGACCATTTGTTTCCGTCCAGCTTACCTGGAAGCCAAAGTAATGATACCCATGGAAAAAGAAGTGAGATAGAGCCGAACAACTCTGTCCACACCAAGGGGTTAAAAAGGCCATCACAGATGGGTGGGAGAGGCAAAGATGCAGTTGCACCAAAACCCCACCCCCGGGGGGCAGACACACGCAGGAGGAATCTCATAGGTCTGGTAGTTGTCAGAGGGGAGGGGGTTGGAGGACAGGGGAAAGGCATCGACTGTATGATGAGGCAGGGTAACTAGACTTAGTGTGGCGAAAACTTTGTATGGTACACAAATATCAAATTATTATGCAGTGCACCTGAAACTAATGTTATATACCAGTTTTACCTCAAAACAAACAAACAAACCAAAAAACAAACCAAACTTCATCTAAAACCTTATCAACTCAGACAGGGTGGTATTTGTGCAAGGACAGACAAATGGACCAATGGAACAAAAAAGGAGCACATGTTATACTTAATAAATGGGATACAGAAGAGTATGGAAAGGCAGGACTTTTCAATAAATTGTGCTGGCATAATTAGATATCTATATGGAAAAATAATACACCCTACATAGAAACGAATTCCAGGTACATTAATGCTGAAATGTAAAAGGCAAAAGTATAAAGCATTTAGAAGAGAATATAAATAAATATACTGCAGACTTTTGGATAGGAATAAGGAACAAGACACAACAGCACTAAACGGGAAAAATGGATAAATTTAATGAGATTAAATTTACAGATTATTTTAAGAATAAGTGAAATGAAGAACTTGTTCATCAAAAGGCACTATGAAAGAATGAGTCTAAGTCACAAAAAGGGAGAAGATATTTGCAACATAAATATCCTACACAGGACTAGCACGAAAATACAGAATATAGAAAGAACTTCTATGCCCGTGACGTCCATGAGACAGAACAGGAGACCGGCTGGAAATGTTTGGGCTGAGATGTCACCCAGGACCCTGGGATCATGACCTGAGCCGAAGGCAGACGCTTAACCGACTGAGCCACCCAGGCGCCCTGTATTTACATTCTTAATACATTTCAC